GGATTTTTTTTTTTTCCTAAGCTGGGAAATAGTGACCAGGTAATCCTTTGTTGCAAAAAGCTCTAGTAGACATTCATAATTGAGATGTACTTATTGCTCTGCCCCTCTGATGTCAGCTGACATCCCTTTGGAAACAGGGTGGGAGTTGCATAAAAAGAAAGATCTTGTGCATTTCCTGTGAAGTCATAAACAAAGGGATAGAATACAATTGCAAAAGTGAAATAAGTGCTTTCATAAAATAGTGATTTTATCTTACTTTATACAATTATTTCTGGTGACACCAAACCAAATGTTGTAGGACTGTGTAATTTTCTGAAAGGGAACCTGTTTGCATGTATCTTTGGTCGAATTTTAGTTGAGAACAATTTTTTATTTTCCCCCGGGAGTGTTTTAATGCGTTGCAATCTCAATAGGGTGGTGTGGTTTCTTTTTTGTTCGGTTGGTTTTTTTGGTTTTTAAACACTAGGTGTTTTGACTTCTTTTTAAGGTCAGACCAGTGTTTTGCTACCTAATTCTTGCACTGATAGGAATGTTAGTGTGGGGAGCCTGGCACTTGCTGTCAGATGTTTTTGTCTCTTCAGAGCAGATCTAAATTTAGTGCAGATGTTCTGGAGGTTTCCCACGTCCTTCAGAGCTCCCCTTGGGCAGTTGGGGGAAGTAGTGAGCACAGACAAATTAGTGGAAAAAATGTGATGAACACAGGACAGTTGGTCATAAGGAGTTATTTTCTGGTAACTGTCATCTGCTACAGTTTTGTGTGTTGAGTACAATTTTGTGATACAGCTGAGCCAGTCCGATGGCTTTTTGCCACAAAAAGCTCCCTCATCCCCACATCCATGGTTTTGCAAAGGAAGGCACTGAAAGACGCAACAGTCAGCTCTGGCATTTGTTGATCTTTCTTCCTGAGTCAATTCAGTTGATTAACTGGTTGAATTTGATTTTTGCCTAAAGCAAAAACATTTTTTTGATAAATTAATGTGCCAGTTTGTCAGAGCAGCCTGGTTAGTGCAAGAGCAACAGTTTTGGGGGAAGGCATGGAACCTCTTCTGGCAATGGGCAGTTGGGTCGTCTTGGCTGCACTGAAAGATGATAGTAGGTGATCAAAAATAAACATAAAGCCTATTTGCTACTGTCTTTTATGTGCTTTTTAAGGTACTAAACTATAAATCCAAAGGTCTGCAGTTAGAGCAAGGATTTTGAGAAATGATGGTTTTGAGCCACTGGAGAAGTCTAAGATAATGATTGGATGCTAAAGTACATGCGTTTTGGGAATGGGGGTGGTTTGTGGGGTTTTTTTGTTTGAGGCTGCACTTACCAATCAAAAGCTGTTCAGTCATGTGATGCAAAACAAGAAGTTTAGTAGGAGTTTATCCTGCTGCTTTAATTTTTATTTTTTTTTTAAGCGTTAACCTTTTACTGGCAGACTCTATTCCAGGGCACATATGAATCTGGAGTAAAAGTCAAAACCTTGTGCTCTATAATGCGATAGAAGCCTGATTGTCAGTTCTCATCCCTAGTCTGAATTAGATATGTAAATGTACAGATCTAATGTTAATAGCAAGTCAGGATGGTACCAGAGGAATGGGCAAATGAATTTAAATGAAGCTTTTTAATAGGATGTATGCTAAAGTATTGAGAAATGATCTGATCATTGATGTACTGTGCTAGTACTTTCAGGTACATCTTATGTGTGATCATCATGTGACATCTTATCTGTAAAAATAAGCTTTCAGAGTGGCTTTAACTCCATTAAGACATATTTTTACATGGAGGTTATCTGAGTTTTTGCTGCCATGGCTGCATTTTCACACTGGTACTTGTCAGATCTCTCTGTGAGCTAGGCTGGTTTGTTAAGCTGTCAGGAGACTAACTAAAATGTATAATTTTCTGCTCAGTTAGCAAGCTGAAGTAACTCATTATGGGTTCAGATGAGTGGTAATACCACAGCAGGAAGGGAGGCGAGGCCATACATGAGTGATTTAATTTCTTTGCACTGTCCTGATACTATACTCTTAATGCTTTTTCCTGGGAATTTGGAGAACTTGGAGACAATTGTTTCTGCAATTTTTAGGAGCCTCTCCCTAGCCTGTGTTATTTAAAAAAAAAAAAAATAGAATTGTTTTAAACACATTTTTGGAGAAACCATGGTTACGCAAGGTAAGCTATTTGATAGTTGCTGAAGGGTCTTTATCTATACTGGTCCATATGCATGTGTATTGACTAAATAAACATACTGTATACCATTCCTCTTCATTTTTTGCATAGAGACTGCTTGGAATATAGATCAGGGTAATGTAAAACCTGAAATTCTGGTGACTAAGTAACTGATACGAAAAACAGGGGTTTTTTTTTGACACCCATCTTTTTCAAACTCGCATAGTATGTGTTCCTTGCTAACAACTTTATATGCACCCAGTCTTAGAGTTTTAGTTTTCTATAGTACCTGGATTCTTCCAGTATAATAAAGGATCTCTAGTAAAAGTCATGGAAAACACTATAGCTGTAAGTAGGTATAAGAAAAAATTATATAGCTATAAGCCGCTATAGAAAATGAAAGTTTTATTGTATATAATATTGCTACTACATCATTGTGCATATTTTATTTGAAAATAAAAGCATACCATGATTGCATGCACAAGCGTTAATTACTGAATTAGCTTTGTCTACATCAATGCTGAAGTACCATTTTAGCTCCTGTGATGTAAAGCAATTAAGCATCCACTTCTTTAATACCTATTAATATCTGTCTGTTTTAATGTATAATAATAAAAATCCAGTAATTATAGTTCTGTAAGTGAATATTACACGACTCTCTTTAGAGGCAGTACATCTTCATATTCTGTTGTGAATGTCATTATCTTTCTTTAACAACATAATCAGTGTTTCTGTGCTTACTTTTTAAATTAAAATTTTTAAATTAAATTTTTTTTAGATTTAAAAGGACTTGATTTTTAATTTGTTTTCAGATATTAAAGTGTTTTTTTTAAATCAAGTGAAAATGTTTCAATTTTTCTCTTACAGTTTACATTATTAAGATGATTTGTGTTAAATGTTGCATTCTTTAATTATTTTAGAGGGAATTTGCCATATCAATTTTATGTGGATTCTAATTGAGTAGAACTTGACAGACAGTGAAGTGATTTTGAAATGTACTGACTCTAAACAGTACTGTGCTTGGGAAAGAGAACCTGAACTAAGCTGTCTCAAACTAAAGAGAGCTCTTATTTTCTCTTTTATAGTTTGTATTGCTATCACTTGGTAGTGACTAGCTGCCAGTGAAGTGGTTAGTTGCTTCAAAACAGTGTGAATGCTAAATAAATTTGTTTAGCTTTGAAAGAATATCCAGCAGTTGCTAGTGCTTAACATATAAAAGCAATGAAATTGTTTTCGTTAATGTGAGCAGTATTAATTACATCCTTCCCTTTTCTCTAGTTAAAGTACCTCGTAATTTTCGCTTGTTGGAAGAACTTGAAGAAGGGCAGAAAGGAGTAGGTGATGGTACAGTAAGCTGGGGCCTTGAAGATGATGAAGATATGACACTTACCAGATGGACAGGAATGATTATTGGGCCACCAAGGGTAAGTGTGATGAATTCAAAGGTTTTTCTTAAGTTTGTAGCCAATACAAAGTAAAAAAAAAAAGTTACTTTGCTACAGTGTACAGGAATTAGTTAAAATTCCTTGTATGAAGTTGTAGAAACACTGTATATTTGTAGAATCATTTAGGCTGGAAAAGACCTTTAAGATCATGGAGTCCAACTGTAAATTCATGTTAGAATTCATCACTTACTGGCATGTTACTAAGTGTTTTCAGTCTAGCCTCCCCTAGTGCATGTTTCTGCAGCAGTCTGTGTAAGCCAGTTGTGATTTGAGACTTATTACTGAATTACTGAGTTAGGAATATACTTAGTCTATATTTCCATCATTACTGCACATAAATGTACAGTGATAGTACAGTATACAGGGTAACTGTCTTTCCACAGTTTATCATATGTGCCTAGTGATTTTAATTCTGTAGCAAATTGACAATATATTTTCAACTTTCACAAGTTCTATCAAATAGTCTTTCAGTATAGCATTGTATGCAATTCAGTTGAATCATGCCTGAAGACCAAGCAGTTTTTAATTACCGCTAGTAAGATAAAATATATCCACAAAATTCTAATCCTCTGACTTAAAGTGCTGTAGAATGTAATCAAGACTGATAAAACCTAGATTGATAAAAACTTTGAGAGAAGTAATCATCTCAAGTATCTGAGTGTCAGCCTCATCATATATGAATGGACACATCTTTACTTCTGTGCACTCTTTTCTCATGAGCTACAATATGATACAAAAGATCACTGTGTAAATGAGTAATTTAAATGAATATAAGTTAGCATATGTCTTTCACTGCTAACATGAGGTTACTGTCTTGTGTGTCCTTCAGTGCTGCAGGGCTTATTGGAAGAACTATCCAAGTCATGAACTGAGATCAGAAATTGGCCTCAGTGAAGATAATGCCTTCCAGAGTAACAGAGTTCCAGGATTACATTCAGTGTAATTCAAACTCCTTTTGGAAGTCAGAGTTAGCTGTAACTTGCAGCTGACTGTTTTGAATATCTACATAATTGTGCTGAGCATCTAAGATTTGCATGCATTTGAGAGAGAACCAGTTTAAAATATAAGCATAATGATGGTATGCTTGGATACTAGCTTCTGTGGAATCACAGTGTTTGAACACATGTTGAAGAAAGCTTATAGCCTTTTGGGTTTTGAGAAGAACTTGCAAATGTGAGCTAACTGAAGTAGTGTCTCCCTGACTCCCCAGACATCCTCCAGAACTGCCTGTGACTGGTTTCTGGTTCAACCTAAGGTAGCTTCCTAACACATCTTTGAAGGGAGTGATTATTATGTAGGAGCCCAAATGTTTTAAAAAATAATTAAGAGTGCATCCCAGGTAGCTTTCTTTTTTATTTTGGGCAATTTATAGTGCTGTTATTTTATTTTCTTTATGAAAAAGTGCACGCAAGTAATATTTTGGGCCATTTCAGGGGCATGCAGTCTTGCTGATAGAATGACTTGCAGTATGTGGTGGTTGTAGACAGTGAAAGCCACCAGCTCCCAAGTGAGTGGTGGCACCTTGAGAATTTGCATATCCAGTTTCAGGGTTTGTAGAAAACACGTGTTTTTGGAAATGGTTGAGTTACATAGTGTGCAGAACACACAACATTGCTAATACTGTCCACAGTCTTCATGTTCCTGGCTTCTTTAGCGCTGTGCAAAAACTGCTTCTCAGGTTTTTTTCTTGCTTCATTTGAAAGGTGAACCAACATGGAGGGGGGAGGGGAAGATTTGTTTTGGATTATAGAAAACATTTTTTTGACCTGCCAAAAATGGCTTTTTAGGCTTTTTGGGGAGCTGGCCAGGGATGTTTGGCTTGCAGTAAAACAGTGCCTTGAAAAACCGAGCAAAATTGAGAAGCCACCTGGATGGGAAAAAGGAAATGAGAATGAGTGCTGTTCTTAGGTTTTTTCAGAGTTGTGAGCAGTGTATATACATTTTGGCCTATTTCCAGTATAACTGACTGCCTCCCTCTCTGGGAAGTAAATTGTTTTATATGAGTGAATAGTGAGAATTTTTGTAACTGTGTTTTCTTGCTGTGGTAGCAACTATGTTACCATTAGCAGGACAAGATTACTTTCATTGAGCCTTTAGCTTGGGAAAGAATAACAGAAAACCTTTTTTCTAACAAAGGATGTCCTGCTTCACCCTGTTTCTTTATGACCCAGTTGCTGCTCAGTCTCTGTGTCTTCTTGAAATTGTAGGACACAGGGTGATTCAGCAGTCCGATGTCCACTCTGCCTTTTAATTGACCACAGAGTGGACTGTCATTTGATAACTTGACTGCGTGGTTGATACTTCTACTTGGAGAGAGTGACATCTGGCTGATGCAGAATAGCTTAAAGATGGTAATTCTGGAAAGTTCAGAGGCATGTTACTGCTTCGGGTTTATGTTAGCTGTATCTGTTGTGCCAATGGAAAGACAGGTGTGGAAGAGCTGGATTTACTTCCTTTTGGAGCACAGAAGCATGTGCATCAGTGACCAGCAAAGCTACTGACAATTTTATTGTGCATGGCCTACTTGACAAGAATAAAAAAAAAAAGGGGGGGGGAAAAAAAAAAGAAAAAACCGTATTCATTTCTAATTGGACATTCTTGAAATATATTTGCACTTAGAATGATCTATTCCATGGTCTCTTTGGAGTGATGTCTTCTGCAAAGTGTCACTTTACTGTCCAAAGTTTATAAATCCTCTAGTAAACCAAGCAATCCTCAGCTATGAAAGTCTTGGATATCTTCTGGAGTGTTAATTACTTCTAGAATATGTTTTGTGCAAATACTATTTTCATCTTGTTCTTGGTTGTGTCTTAACTGTTGGTTTATTGACATCTTTGTCTTTTCACATTTCCAGGTTTTTTTGTAGTGTTAGGTATTATTTTTTACAGGGGAAAGCAGTAATTTTCCCAAAGATTATTGATTTTTCTCTCAGCCCTCTGTTGTGCCAAAGTTGTTTTGGGCATGCAGGTGGGTAGGAAGGATAAGAGTAAATGTGAATTAAAAAAAGAATTGTATTCTGTTAAAACTTTTGTATGGTACAGTCAATAAGTAATGTAATTTATACAAATTCGTCAAGTAATCAATATAACCAAACCAGTGCAATATCAATCAGTAATCCAAGACCATCAACTGGTACACCTTATTAACAGATTTATAATTATTTCATATTTCTTAATCTTTATTCCTCTTGCCTTTGCTTTGTTTTTTTATTTATTAATATTCAGCTTTCAGTAAGATGCATTAGTCTGTCTTTTTGCTTTCTAGACAAACTATGAGAACAGAATATACAGTCTGAAAGTAGAGTGTGGACCTAAATATCCAGAAGCACCTCCTACAGTTAGATTTGTAACTAAAATTAATATGAATGGAATAAATAATTCCAATGGAATGGTAAGTTGAAATGGTAAGATCAACCATGTTGTTAATTTGTGCTGTAAATTACTTCTGTGAAAAGCCCAGGTGAGGAATGTGCATGTTGGACAGAGCTTTCATATTTAAATTTTGTAATATAAGTACTTGGTTTAAATCAAATTTTGGTTACTTACTACTTCAAATCTTTAGGTGTTTGCAATCTGTTAGTGGTTCTTAGTGGCTCGTCAATGAGATGAACATTATTTATAGTATTGAAACAGTTGTTTCTTTTAAATGAAGCTGAAGATTTTAGTTTTCAACAGGAAAAAAGTGTTTAAGCCATGTGTAGGTATTTCCCTTGTAAGACCCTTATAAAAGAGGATTAGATTCATATCCTAACAGGAGTACTACAAACTTCATCTGATGTTTCCATTAACTAAAAATGGAGGTTATTCCTGATGAGTTGCACCCTGTATATAGTAACTCACCTGTAATGAACCAATGTATTTCAACTCTTATTTTCTTTGTTTATTCGAATTCAAGGTGATTCTGAGCTTCAGTCTTAAGGTCTTTTGATGTAGATGGTAATCACTTTCATTTTAAGATCAATTTGCAATAAGTCACTTTCACTGATCCCACACTTAGGGTGTCATGAGTTCATGTACATGAGCAATGGCAGCAGCTCAAGCAAGTCTGTTACTCCATTATTCACTAGGTACTTTTATCCTGCAAATAACTCTTGAGGTACCCCATTGCTCAGTGAAAAGAGGTGTGAGCTGTCTTGCATTTACAGTGGTCTATGCATATGTCAGCAGGAAATAATGTGTTCACACTTGTCTTCAGAGAATGCAAAGTAATTGGGTTAAGGTAATACTTAAAGGCGAGTCAGAGAGCATCTTTGGATTTTAAATAATTTGCAAGATTTAAAAGGAAGATGGACTTGCATTTGTGTAATTAACAGTACTGAAATGTGAAGCTTAATTATCTCAATGACTGCAGTGGAGGGAGAGGTTCTCAGGGATTCTTTTGAGCTCTTGCAGGTGGTAGGGTGGTGTACTGGCTGGTCATCCAAAGCCAGCACACTACGCTTCATAAATAATCTAAAACTAATTTGAATGCTTCTTGTGTAGCCAACAACTTTACTGAATGTGAAGGTCTCATTAAAATTGCTGTCTATAAATGAGCTGTGGCCCTTCATCACAACTGTGGCTTGTTGCCTGTAAGAATATGTTTATTACAAGGTTGTGACTAGCAAAAGGTGCCAATCTGGAATGCAGCAGAGCTTTTGGCACATTTATAATACTATTTTCATACGTCTCCCTAGTAACATGTATTATTCTGAGTCAGTAAAGAAGAATTCTCTCATTGCTTCATCTGTGCATGCCTGAGAGTGTATGTGGTGGTTTCTGGAAGCAGAATCTCAGACCTGCAGAGCCTGAAGGCTCATGTTTACTGAGCCAGTCAGCTTGAGATTTTGTTTGGAGCAGTCTACACTGCCTCAGCTTGCTGAGGAACAGGGTGAATACTGTGACAGGAAATCCACCTGGTGGTTTTAAAAGCACTCTTAAAATCCAGTCATCGCTACAGGAAAATTTGTTTTTAATAAAGTTTATAAGCTTATACAAAACCTTCATTCAGTTTTGCCTGAACAGTTCTGTAAGGTGGTATATATTATGAAGGAGTTGCTATGCAAATGCGTAACCTATTTTTTTAATGGATTTAAATAGGACTAGATAGTATTTTTAATGAAACAGTTTTCATAACTAATGAATTTTGAACTAATTTATTACATAATTTTTAATATGCCCACTGTCCTGGTATCTTGCATTTTAGCTGCTTTTCCCATTGTGCTCACTAGAGTTGTGCCAAATGTGTCAGAGAAACTGGGGGTACCTTCAGCATCCCTGGAACAATTCACATTGCTGCTTCCTGTTTTGGTTCCTTCTTGTTTCTTCCAAGCTGCTCTTTCACTTTCTGATAGTCTTTGATTTAATAGATCATAAGCGGTTTGCTGCATTCTTTGAATGAATTACAGGGTATAATTTTCAGGCAAGCTCTACTATTTGTGCTTCTGCACCCTGTTTTTTGACACGTGGCCAGCTTTTGATCACATTGCTTATAGATGGCATGAAAAAGTTGGTGACTTGCAGGAAAGAGACCTGAGACTGATACTGTATGTCATAGCAGTATTATCTTACTACTCAAAACACCTGTAACATTAAGGTACTCTTTACAGGAGGTGTGTGCCAGTTAATACCTGAGGAAAAGTAAGGCCCCCCAATCTGAGTTTAGAGGGTGATGATTTCTGTTGAATTGGAGTGTGAAGGGTGGAGGGGGGAGATGGATATGCGCTAGAGTTACTGGGGGTCTAAGGAAGCTAGTCTCATACTGCCTTGTTGGCAGTAATTCTCAAGCTTCTTGACTTACAAGTCTCTTTACATCTTGCATAAAAAGTGCGCGTGTAATTTATCTGTACTGACTGTTACAGTTTTATTGACTTTTTGATTATTCTGTGAGAGGAGTTTTGCCTGTAAGTAACTTTTCCATCAACAGCATACCTTCAGGGATCCCTGTGATTGCTCTTTGAAAAATTTAGTGCAGGAAAGGAGAGGACTACTTCACAAGTATTTTCTCTCAAAAGACTAAACTTCGGTGCTCTGAGTCGCCCCGTTAAATTGTCTTCCTTTTCTTATCTGCAAGTTAGTTTTTGTGGTTTTCTGCTTTTCAGTTTGCCTATGGAGGTACTGAGTTTGTATACAGGATTAGGGTAGTAAGTTCAGAAAAGCTAGTCCAAGTACTTATGTAGGGCTGGACAGAATGCCTTTATGTTTTAATGGCATCACTGTTGTAAAATTGTATTTTAAATTATCATTCTTAATGCCGCAGGGTCTTTTCTCTTGGATGCTTGTGTGTCCTGTATTGATAAAACACAGGTTGCATTCTGACATGCGATTTATTTTCCCATGGTCATTTGAGGATGTCTGATTCTTGCATCTGTGAGAGCACTCTTCAACAGTCTTATCTGGGAGGATTTGCAGTCACTTTGTTCATTTAAATACCATTTACAGCTGGAAATACTTGTTTCCTTTAAACTCGCTTGGGACTCAGCTATAAACATCTGCAGCTATATGCTAAGTGAACGTAAGATCTGAGCCCTTCTTCTGTTACCATGGTACTTAACCACTGTGAAGTTTTTCTTCTTTCTGTGGGACTCCATGAGGAAAGATGGTGATCTTATGCATTTCTCGTGGCATTTTCTATATGGAGAATAGTTTTGAGTAGTGTGGTATTGACTATTCTAACTTCTGAAATGAATTCATGTTGTTCCTAGTTTGCTGGGTCCAGCTTGTTGGGTAGAAACTCTGGAGTGTCCTTTAATCTTATCTAGAAGGATTAGAGAGGAAGAGCTTGGTAGCTCAGAACAAAGATTCAGACTAAATGATGCTTTACTTAAGCTGCTACTTGATAACACAGGTAACGTCTTATCAGAATTTCCCTTTTACTCACTGGTGGTTTTAATAGTGTGCTTTTTAAGAAAAGAGAACCTGTTTCCCAGTTGCAAAGATTATTCTGCTCTGATATTGCCTGTTTTATCTACCACGTTAAACCAAATACCCCTTTAAAAAGGCGTAGTAGTAGTCTGGGAATTACAGTGATGGTCTGACCAGCGTTACTTTCAAAGCCTTTCTGTATTAGCTCATACATTCATATACGTATTTTAAAATAGTGTGATCTTGCTGCGTAATGGAGCTTTTCTTTTGATGCTCTTTTTCTTCCTGATTTATTAATGTTTGCGATTAAGTAATCTGACTGCCTTTTTTACTGTGGTTTGATGATTTGCTGTCTTTGGCAGCACTATCGACTTTAAGGGGTTCCCGACTCTGAGCAGAATGCTATTTGTGTGAAGAGAAATGCTTATAGTGCTGAGCTGTGAATTGGATCAAGGATCCTGCTTAGGCACTTCTTTCCAAGGTGTTTTTATTAAACGAGGTGCGTTCTGTCAATTCAGGTCAGAAAGTAGCTTGAGCTGATAGGCAGTAGCACTGTTAAAGAAACAAGTGCCTAGTGAGAGGGAGCAGAAGTTCCTTGGGTTAGTATTGCTGCCCAAGCCAGCGTTTTGTTAAACCTTGGCCTCAGTTTCCTTCTGCAAAAAGGTTTAGTCTCATCTGGTGTTCAGAAAATAGACAGCCTCACTTTTTGAGCGATCTAGGAAGAAAACATCTGTTTTAATGTTCTTATTTCTGATTCCAGTGTTGTTTTTTCTTTCAGTTTGCCCCAATTAAGATGGGAAAAGAAACTTCTTGATGTTTTATGCTGCCTAAATCATAAAGCAGTGATTTCCAGCACTTTTATAGCCATGTGGGCTGCCTGTGCTCTCTGCCAATGGAATTCAGTAGCGTGCAACAGCCCTGTTCCTGCCCATGGGCCTTCTTTGCAGTTGCACAGCTGGAGGCTCCTCTGTCTAAGTTCCTTGTTGCAGGGGCTGGGTAGCCAGGACTTACCTGCTGCCAAAACAACTCCCAAGCTGACTTTCAATTGCTGACTTTCCTATGGAAACCTCCCTGTTATAATATAATTGTGTAAATTGTCCCACAGGTTTTATAAACGCATAGGAGAAGTCCCATGTCCTTTCCTTTCAGTTCATATTCAAATTGGTAAGTGATGTACAGTAATCTTCACGGCTCCATAAGATGACTTACTGTAAGAAGGATGCAAAGAACTGAGAAATATCCAAACATTATGAATTAGTTATTTCAATATTTCAAGCCTTTTTTTAGTATATGTAGTGACTCTTGATGTATCAGAAGCACCATGTAATATCGATGTGAAATAAATCACTAATGATACTTGTAGCAAGGGAAAAACACGGGAAATTTTCCTTTAGAAAGGTGTTCTACAGACTCTTGTGTGGCAGGTTCTTTTAAAGAACTGAGGAAAATCCAAGTGTATATATTGGCATAATGAAGGTGATAAGTTTTTTCTTTTTTTGGAGTAATTTGAAACAAATTAATAAAAAACAAATTTTACAAGATAGGCTCCAGTTTTGCAGTAAACAGTTCGCTGATCTCCTCCTCCCCCCCCTTTCCTTCTCACTAATATTAGTATCAGCACGGATGAAGGGGTCCACCTGCATGGATTTTATTGCAGAAACTGTATCTGCGTGTAAGTATATGATTGTTTTCCGTAAAATATTTTATGAACATAGGAACTTTGTGCCACAGAGAAAGTATCAGGGAATGCTTAGACTCTTTCGTAGACCAATTAGGTCAATAGTTATTTATGTAGAGTTTTTGTATTTCCTAATATCTTATAATTCCCTCTTCTTTTTCCAGGTGGATGCACGGAGCATACCAGTGTTAGCAAAATGGCAAAATTCTTATAGCATTAAAGTTGTACTTCAAGAGCTAAGACGTCTAATGATGTCCAAAGAAAATATGAAGCTTCCACAGCCTCCAGAGGGACAAACTTACAACAATTAATTTTAGCTGATTCTCAAACTCCTGTCTTAAAACAACAACCTTCTACTCATGTTAATGTCTTGATTAAATCTCACAATGCAAACACCCACACATTAAAAGAATTTCAGCTGGTATACATGACCTGGACATTTGTAAGAATATATATAATATATGTATGCCCAATAAGTTTTCAGGCACTATGGGAGAAAAAGGCAGCACAATTATTTTTTTCTCTTATCAAGGCACTGTCATTTAAGCATAAGCCTGAAATAGCCTAAAATTGGAATTCAGGTTTTACAAGATGAAAGCATGACAGAAAGTGTCGGATCGCTGTGGAATAATGTATGTTTCTGGAAATAATCTCTTGAGAAGGCAGAGTATAAATGGCATGCTTTATCCATCTTGCTTAGTAAAAGAGCTGCAGTTAAATTTGTTTTAAAGTAGCAGGTACAGTGAATACCATTGCTCATCTTGTTTAATTTTGCAAGGGTGTGGGTGCCGACTACTGGTAGTGTCACAAAGTATGTTCAGGATTGTTTTGATACCTGTATTTATAAAATGGGGGGATTAATTTCTCTTAAGCAGCTCCTGTGTGTTACATGTATCGGACATGGCAAATATTTGTTTACAGTCTTTGTTCTAATAAACCATGCATTTAAGTTTTAGTGAAACAAAGGAAATGTATGGATATGTGATTGAGATTAAAGTTAGTCTTAAAATGTAAATAAAATGTGGAAAGTGTCTGAGGCTGTGCCATTTCTATAATAGTGATGTAATTTATGTACAGTAACATGCAGAAGTAGTGGAAAGCCAAACATAATATTGCTGCTGGTTTTACATGCACCTTTTATTCTTACCACTTTTGTATGCTTAGTTTACTTGAGAGGTCAAGGTATTCAGTATGTTGCAGGGGAGTAAGTTCTGTCATCTGTAGTACCACTTCTTTAAGCAAGCTTGTACTGTGTATTTATATATTTAAAAAAACCAAACAAACAAAACAACCAACTCCCAAAACCAACTCCAAAATAAAAACAAAAAACTCTTGCCTACCCACCTCTCCTTCACCTCCTGTCCAGATTCTTTTGAGAAATGAGCATAACTTTCACTTTGCTAACTTGGCCTTTGAGCAGTTTTCAGACCACATTGCTGAAGTCTGTCCTACTTCTCAGTTCTTTGTCTTGCTTTTGAAGTTGCTGCCTTGATTCTTCCTTTCTTGCATCTTTTCCTCTTTCATGTTGCTTGCCTTTTTTTCTTGTCCCACTTTTGCTTTTTCTGAAACACACAAAAAAGGAACTTCAGGAAGCTCTAATAAGAATTATACCTGTGGTACAGATCATCATATTTCCATCTGCATTCCATGTATCGTATGGCATGACACGATGGTCTTCCTAGCTAGAATGCTTTCTGCCTCTCCTGCAATTGTTGGTCTGGTTTTTTTCAATGTATTCTGTCTGGTGGTAACACTGTTCTTAGTTCTGTTACTGATTTCTCATAAGAAAGTAGTTAATGCTATCCTTCTGGGAATTACACCTTCTTTCCCTGGTCCCCCTCTTGGAAGATGCAAGCCTTTATTCATTTTGCTGAGAATATGTAACATTGGGAGCAAGTCAGCTATTTGCTTTCAAAATGTTATTTAGTCGTTCTTTTGAAAAAGTTAATATAATCAAAAGCTATCAACAGCCAGGTAACTTTGACATGCCATTGCCTATTTCTGATGTAAAGAATGAACCGTTAAAAGCAATAAACTAGGTGTTCTTTTTATTGTGGAAAGGTTTAATTACTATTTGTCAGTTTATGCTTTTTAGACAAATTGGACACTTCCAGAATTGGTGGATTTGTAGCTGCCAGCTACCTCCTTTCTGTATTTATATTAACATATCATTTGTGACAGTTTGGCTGAAGTGCATTGCAACATTTTCTTACTTGATTTAATTTGAATGATTTTGATGCCATTAAATCTTTTTTTCTTACGCTAACACTGCTAATCTATATTTAATCAATTAAAATAATGGAACTGTGTGGTTCTGAGATGTGAATTTTTGGGAAAACTTCAGCATAAGCTATTGAGAGAATGGGAAGTACTCGTAGACTATTATATGGTTGGTAACATAATTTAAGAGACTGGCTTATTCACAGAGCATGAAAAAAGTCTGGTTGTTCACTTGGTTGTATGGGGTGCAAGATGATCCCACAACAGTTATTCCTTGTTGTCTGTACTCTAACCATTTGTATCTGTGAAAATCTACATATCCAGCTGTAAGCAGATAGATTTTTTGAGGGAAAAAAAAAAAGAAAAAAGTGGTGGAGGGAGTTGACCTGATCTCTGACACCAGGGTATGTAATATGAAGGATGACTGTAAAAATATTCCTGCAGTGATTTTAATTGTGTTGGTTTTCCATTTTGCTCACACTGGAAGAAGTCGAAGTGTAATTAATTACGAAATTTTAAAATATCTTTGACTACTGCATAAAGTAGAGACCCTCCCCAAAACTTTCATTACCTAAAGAAGATTTTGAAGTCACTGCTGCTTACTCTCCTCCAGAAGGGTTATGTTGTTTTACAGATGTCCGTGTTGTCATGTTCTTGTAGATTCTTTTAGTAACCTCCTTGGATGCCAGAATTTTAATTTTCCCCTTATAAGTGTTTCATTTGTGTTACCTTTTTTTGGCAAGATTTGAATTTGCTATTGTTAGCAAATGTGTTGGGGTTTTTTACTTTTTTTTTTCCCCTGAAAACTGTATTTGTACATTTTGCAAAGTAGAGCACCATTTTAAGCCAGTTGCGTGAGGGGCAGAGAGCAAAAGTTCTAAATATAATATTTTTTTCAAATTGCTTTTGAAAATTCGTATCTTGTTGGTGGTCATCAACTGGGGTTTAAACTAGCGCTCTGCTCTGAAGCACTGCCAAAGTTCTTGTGTTTTCATTATTCGAGGGAGGGATAAGTTTACTATGAAGCAACGAAAAAAACCCCAAAGATTGTATGATTCATGCTTCGTAATCCTTAAGATCTAATGAGCGAGCCTATGGAAATATCCACGTTACAAATAATGTGCCTTACTCATTTATAATAAAGTACATAAAATGTTGCAAGGTGTGGACCTACCGATTGCCTTGATTGCGCTCGTCTTCCTGAAGGCAAGTTGAGAATACTCGACACCCAGCAAGACAGTCGGGAACGAATCCCTCAACTACTATGAAACGAATGCATAATGCATGTGTTTGTCATTGTATAGGGCATAACCAAAGGAAAATTTTAGTGCATCCTATGAGAGTTGGTCAACTATAATAATAATAAACTGTGCAATTTAGACAAGTATTTGTGTTCTACATGGTTACTTACATGGTGAGTTTGTGGAAATGTATTTCCTCTTTAGTAGCTTTCAGGACAATAATTCAGGGCCTAAAAGTATTTATTAAACTCTTTTGATAGAAGGTTCGTGTAGCAGGCCACCTGGTGATCGTCCTGTGGCAGAGGCAGGATACCTGACAACTACTTGTTCTTATTTCAGCCTCTAGTTTTTGAAAACTCAGCCAGATTGCTGCTGGTGTGGCTTGTCTCAACTGCTAGAGAAGGAGGAATAAACTGGTATTAAGCAAATCTGAATACGTGTTACTGTAACAAAAAACAGTGACTTAAAACTACTGTTGGTCTTTTGCTTTCATACAAGTAGAATTCCAGGTGGAAGTGAAGCAGTGGGACAAGATATGTTTCTCATGAATTTTTCTAAATAATGTGTTCAGAACTCTTGTGAAGCCTAGGAAGATATCTGAGGTAGGGAGATATTTCCCACTTAGTAGAACATGATGAATGCCTGTGGCCTTTAATAATAGTTTTAAAAAAAAACCCAAACAAACTTTAAAACTTGTTAATGCATCTGTGTTAACTCTACATAATGAAACAATTGTGGGAGAGGGTTTTCTTTTACCTGTTACTCCCTGAAACAGTGTATTATACCTTTTTGATTGCAGACCCAACTGATCATGGGCTAAAATGGTATGAAGGATGTATTGCCTGTAATGCTGGAAGTAGGAAAATACCTATGCTGCTTTAAAAAAAATACGAAAGAACATACTTCACTAGCTGATCTCAACTTCCATAGGAACGAGTACTCCATTTAATGGTTAAAATAACAGCTTTCTACATTACCTTAGTGTGAGTGTGGCTTATATATATATTTTTTTTTTTTCCTAAATGGTTGTGTACCTTCAGCTCAGTTGATAAACTGTTGTAAATTCCGTTCTATAAAATACATCTCATATACCAGCTCCCAAGGAGCATTCCCATATTAGAATAGTTCCATGAAGCTTTTCAGTCTTTATTATTTTAAAATAGTGATAAATACAAGAAGACTTTTATTATTTATACTAGTGCCAAACTACATAAATGGATAACTTAATGGATGATGTTGAGATAATGCAAAAATAACCAGTGCTTGGGATCTCTTGGTATAATGCATGTTTTCTAAACTAATTTATGACTTTCCATCATTTCTTAACAGAAGCATCCCAACCTTCTGCTTATAATATATACAGTATGGATAAAATATAAACATGGTTTAATAATGTATAAACTATGCAGTTTGGGTTTAAAAAAGGTATACTGTGTTTTTGTTAAGTCAGAAATACTGAAGGAATGGCTATGCAGACATAAGCAAGAAAGGTTTTAATACAGTTGCTTTGTGCTTGTTCCCACTCTGCTCCCTAGTGATTATTATAGTTGTATAGGTATGGATTTAACATGTTGGCTGTTTTCATTCTGAATTAATATTATTAAGATTAGTAGTTATCATTGCCATCTTTTTTTTAAATGCTGCGGAATGAGAAAGGGAGGGGGGAGGGCTTTGATTTCCCTCTGCAATTTCTACTGATTAAAAATTATCAAGAAAATAAGAAACCTAGTAAACGTATCTGTTACTGACTTGAGAATAGACCATGAAAAATTGGCTGCTTTTTTTTTTTTCCAGTTGTCACAGGAATAAAAGCTGTTAGAGTCAGGATGAGAACAGCTGAAACAGTAGAGCTGTGAAGTTGTCATGAAGATGTGGAAGAGGATGTTTCTAGCAGATCTTTCCAGTGTCATGGAAATTGGGTTAATATGGGGGAGAGGGTTGCATCTTGCAGAATGACTTTGGGAGATAAACTTGCACTTTGAAATCCTTATATTCAGCCTGAAAAGACTTAGCCCAGTTTTATTAATCTCCTTCACTTTTTTGAGATAAGAGGAAGTACAGCAGGTCGTGATTACCCCATTTCTTTCAGGTTTTGATAAGGAAAAATTGCCACCGTGAGGAGCTGTGTAAACCAACAGCATGGAGTGGAGGAGGGTGATGCTTGCGGCTGGCTCTTTGGTTCCCATGTTAATCTAAGTGACTGGTGATCAGCAGTTAGTAAGTTTAAATGTATTTCGTTAGTAGAGTCAATACTATTAATGAGAAGAGTCTACACTAAAAGCTCTTTGCTTTTGTAATGATGTTGGGCAAATGGCCAGCAACCCTGACCCCTGCCTTTTCTGGCCTACGGTTTCTTCCACTATTATTTGTTTGCTGGAACGCAGTTTCAGGAGATCACGTTATTTCTCATCGCTGGGTGGTGTGTTGGACTTTAAACTATGGGACCATCCGCTTCTGAGAAATCCCTAAAATAACTCTGCCACAACATCACAGTGTCAGGATTCGTGGAATCAGTCATAGGCATCTTGGCTTGTGTTTCCTGAAACTGGTCCCTGTACATTTTAATTTTTTT